GTAATTTATAAAATTTTCTTGTGTAGACACTTGCAACATGTTTAAGAAAACCACTGTTTTTAGCTGCTGTAGAAGGCAAACCTTCTACAATGAATTTAACTTCAACAATGAATTTACACAAATCCCTAATTCAAAGCAAAGGGTAGAAGGAAAAACACAATACCTAATTCAAATATGTCATATAGTTTTGACTTTGGAGCGTATTGGTGAAGGTAAAGTTTGGTGGGGAACATGACCAATTGCAGTTGGGACTCTGAAAGAAAAAAGAAAATTGCAATATATAAATATTGAGAACACTAACTCAAATTTCAAACCTATAAACTTGTTTACCTGAATAGATAAAGGCAAACTAGTCTGGACATTGGTGGTTAACAATCTCGTGGTTGGATAGAACTACAAACATTGATACGAGACCAAACATAAATAATTAAATAAAATATACTTAAATCAAACATAGAACTAGTTTACCTAATTAGATGAAGGAAAACGAGCATGTGCATTGGTGATTAGCACACTCAGTGTTGGATAGAGCTACAAACATTGATACGATACAGAACATGAATAATCGAACAAAATCTATAAAATCTTGCTCAAAAATATAAACTAGTTTACCTGATTAGGTGAAGGGAAACAAGCATGTGAATTGGCAGTTGGCATGCTCATAGTTGGATAGAACTACAAAAAATTGATCGATATCGAATGTCGAATATGAGATGTTGAAAGTTGAGGCATTGAATTTGACAAAATAAACTGTTCTGTGACCCTCCTCATTAAGTTCAAAGGTTTGGAGGTTCCATCACTTCCAGTGTTGAGCGAGTGAAGTGCCCCATAAGCTATAAGAGTGAGCTATATGTTTTAATTTCGTGAGCAGCGGTTGAACTGAACGTTCTAAGTGCATCCAGCAGGAATCGAACCTACGAATTTTTCACGCATTTTTACCGCCAAATTGCCAACAAAACTCATACTCAAGAAATTTAAAAAAATTTCTTGTGTAGACACTTGCAACATGTTTAAGAAAACCACTGTTTTTAGCTGCTGTAAAAGGCAAACCTTCTACAATGAATTTAACTTCAACAATGAATTTACACAAATCCCTAATTCAAAGCAAAGGGTAGAAGGAAAAACACAATACGTAATTCAAATATGTCATACAGTTTTGACTTTGGAGCGTATTGGTGAAGGTAAAGTTTGGTGGGGAACATGACCAATTGCAGTTGGGACTCTGAAAGAAAAAAGAAAATTGCAATATATAAATATTGAGAACACCAACTCAAATTTCAAACCTATAAACTTGTTTACCTGAATAGATAAAGGCAAACTAGTTTGGACATTGGTGGTTGACAATCTCATGGTTGGATAGAACTACAAACATTGATACGAGACCAAACATAAATAATTAAATAAAATATACTTAAATCAAACATAGAACTAGTTTACCTAATTAGATGAAGGGAAACGAGCATGTGCATTGGTGATTAGCACACTCAGTGTTGGATAGAGCTACAAACATTGATACGATACAGAACATGAATAATCGAACAAAATCTATAAAATCTTGCTCAAAAATATAAACTAGTTTACCTGATTAGGTGAAGGGAAACAAGCATGTGAATTGGCAGCTGGCATGCTCATAGCTGGATAAAACTACAAAAAATTGATCGATATCGAATGTCGAATATGAGATGTTGAAAGTTGAGGCGTTGAATTTGACAACATAAACTATTCTGTAACCCTCATTGTCACATCCCCGCCCGGGGCAGATCACTTCCCGGGCCCGCTCCACCACCGTAGCATGATATTGTCGACTTTGGGCCCCGACTACGCCCTCACGGTTTTGTTTCTGGGAACTCACACGAGAACTTCCCGATGGGTCACCCATCATGGGAATGCTCTCACGCGCTACTCGCTTAACTTCGGAGTTCCCATAGAACCCGAAGCCAGTGAGCTCCCAAAAGGCCTCGTGCTAGGTAGAGATGGGAATATACATTTAAGGATCACTCCCCTGGGCGATGTGGGATGTCACAATCCACCCCCCTTAGGGGCCCGAAGTCCTCGTCGGCACACACGCGACCAGGGTTAGGCTCTGATACTAAATTGTCACATCTCGGCCTGGGCGGGACCACTTCCCGGGCCCGCTCCACCACCGTAGCACGATATTGTCTGCTTTGGGCCCCGACTACGCCCTCACGGTTTTATTTCTGAGAACTCACACGAGAACTTCCCAATGGGTCACCCGTCTTGGGAATGCTCTCACGCGCTACTCGCTTAACTTCGGAGTTCCCATGGAACCCGAAGCCAGTGAGCTCCCAAAAGGCCTCGTGCTAGGTAGAGATGAGAATATACATTTAAGGATCACTCCCCTGGGCAATGTGGGATGTCACACTCCTCATTAAGTTCAAAGGTTTGGAGGGTTCTATCACTTCCAATTTCACGCATTTTTACCGCCAAATTACCAAATACTCAAGAAATTTATAAATTTTTCTTGTGTAGACACTTGCAGCATGTTTAAGAAAACTACTGTTTTTAGCTGTTGTAGAAGGCAAACGTTCCTTGTAACAAAAGGTTTCTTTTAATTCTTTTGAACGTATCTCGTTTGCTTGTTTTTCATAATGAAGCATAAATTCAGTAAGAGTCATCGTTTTAGTAGACATACGATGGAAATCATTTGTCACATCCCAGACTGGCTCCGCCGTAGCACGATATTGTCCACTTTGGCCCTGACCATGCCCTTACAGTTTTGTTTCTGGGAACTCATGTGAGAACTTCCCAGTGGGTCACCCATCCTAGGATTGCTCTCGCCCGAACTTGCTTAACTTCGGAGTTTCTATGGAATCCAAAGTAAGTGAGCTCCCAAAAGGCCTCGTGCTATATGAAGGTAGGTGGGCATGCACATATAAGACACATCACCCCCTCTCTGTCGGTCAATGTGGGATGTTACATCATTATTCATGCTCTCACTTCTTTGTGTGGATTTTATCCTCACAGAGAAAGCATCTTGGCTAACCACTGGACACAACTTACCACGAATGGCATAAAGACTTTTAAGCCATTTGTTTTGTGCGACGTTAAATTCCTCAATCATTTCATCCCAAGTATGCTGAAATTCTAACGCTATTTGACATCCGTTAAGACACTTGTTGAATAGCCTCTTGAACTCAGGGATTCCATGAAGTGTTGGTATATTTCTTGTAGCATTCGTTGATATATGCCATGTGCATAAACGATGGCATGTCCCAGGAAACACCACCATAGTGACATTTGCCATAGCTTGACACTGGTCAGTGAAAATGGTTGTAGGCTTTCGATTCCCCATTGATTCTAAGAATGCCTTAAATAACCATTCAAATGTAGCAGCCTTCTCATCTAACAAAATGGCACAACCCAGCAACACATTGCTCCAGTGATGGTTAACTTCAACGAAAGGAGCACCAATCATGTTGTACTTACTGATTTGATATGTAGTATCAAAAACTACTACGTCCCTGAAGCACTCATAATCAATTCCGGACCTTCCATCCCTCCAGAAAAAGTTAGTCATTCGGTTTTCTTGATCAACATTAGGTTGTCAGCTTGCTTGCGCTTAAAATGATTGATCAAGCTTTGAGCATGCCCTGCTTCAAGCATAATTCTTTTTTCCCTACTAACAAAATTGTAGCAATCTGTTTTCGTAAACCCAACATTTTGAGACCCGCCGACTTCTTCCGCTAAATATGAGTACGTATTTGTAGATCTTATACTTGCATTCACCATGGTTTTAATCACATCCATATGAGCTTCTGAAATTTTACTAGTTTGATTGTAAAAATTGTCTTTCCTCTGGCATTGCAAGTTCAGGATCAAAGGTAGAGACTTTCCACACACCATATTCTAGTAAAAATCGAATTTTGGCTTGGCAACCTATTCTCTCGTCCAGTCTCTTGGTATTTTTCTCTTCACAAGGGTCACTATCTTGTTGAAAACCTTCTTTTGAACAACAAAAATTAAGTGTTGTAAGATCTCCATTTTTGTCATATCTTCTGTGTCTCTTTCGAATGCTAAAACCAATGCGTGCCACATACTCATTATAGAGATCATAAGCTTCTTGCTCATTTTTCACAATCTTTCCATACACATTTTCAGCATAACTCTCTTCAAGATTTACAATAGGTGGAGTTTTTTCTCGAGCGTTGCATTCAATATTTTCTTCATCGCTTTCGACATCAATGACTTCATTATTCATTAAGAGATCATTTTTACCATATTATAAGCCAAAAATTTCATAGAATATCGACCAACAATAATCAGATTTTATAAAAAATAATATCATGGCCAAGAGCCAAAAACCAATGTCCTATAATCATGCAAAATGTTTAAGAGCTCACACATACAACTTATTAAAAGGAAAAATCAAATACCTTCGTTTGAGTTTGAGTCTCCATCCATAATACCTTGGTCTAGGTTTGAGTCTGTGAGAAAAGGAGGGAATTCTTGTTATTTTTCAAAGAAATAAAAGAGGGAATTGAGTCTGTGCAACTTCCCTCAAAGGTCCCAACGGCGCAAGAGCTTTTCAATTGAAAGAAAGAAACGGAGGATGTAACAGAGTTAAAAGGCATCTTTTTGTTTTTGACTTTTCAGCTTCTCCAAGTATGATTAAGTGAGCAAATGATAAAATCTAGCTGTCAAAATTTAATATGTTGGGATCACCACCTGCCTTGTTGAGGTGTGTGTTTCCGTTGCCCCAAAAATTTCTCCAATTCTTGGGTGCACCTAGAACCTCTTACCAATCAATGGGCTGAGATTAGCTGCTCCAAACTGAATAAAATAGCAAGTAGCCCACTTTGTGAAACTCAAATCATGAGCCGTCCAATTTCTATTAAGCATGATTCGACAAAGATTGAAATCCAACGGTTACAAGTAGCTAATAAAATAGCTCACAACCTAGACAAAGTAGGAGAGAGCAATTGTTGAAGGAACGCGAAAACAGAAAAAACTCAGAGAAATGAGGAAGTTCGATCCATGGCCGATTTTCTTCAAGCGAGAGTGGAACCGGAACTGGCCGTTCCTCGCTGGGTTCGCCATCACCGGAACCCTAATCACCAAGTTCTCTCTCGGCCTCACTGGTGAGCTGTCCCCCTCCCCCCGATCTGCGATCTGTTCGTTTCCAATTCGAAATTCGAAACCCTAATTTTCGTTGACCCATTTGTTTTGTGTTAATTTATTCGCAGAGGAAGATGCCAAGAACTCGCCTTTCGTTCAGAGGCACAAGAGGTAGCTTTTCTTCTAATCCGTTGATTCGTTAGGCCGTAGATAAAGAGAAAATAGTTATCATTCAAATGCAGTATGATTATCTGGTAATTGTTACAGCGCGTGAAAAAAAATCCACTCTTTCGAGTTTTCGTCGAAACTTTTGCTGATTGTTGCATTGGGTGTAATGAATGGCATCTAGATCCTAATTCTGTTACTATAATTGATTGCTTTGTTGTTTCTTTAATGTGCGGAAACATCATTTTTAGGTAGGAAGTTTGGAATCATGAGTTAATTTTGTTGATTCTCTGGTATATGGTGTTGAGTCCAGAAGTATTTTACTTACGACGATTTTGGTACACATTGTGTTTATGGCAAAAACTTGAAAACCGATATGTTTTCTCAGCGCTTATAGTTCAGTTTTTAGAAAAAAACCAAGGCATTAATGCATTTAGTTGGTCGAGATTACTTCCCAACGTGGTTTAGAATCAGATGGTCAGACTTGGTCTTCTGCTGCTAGATCATGCATCGATCATCTCAACTCTATCATAATTGTTGTAAAAATCACTTGGACATGAAGCCCATACTTATCCGTTTTTCAATTCCTTTTTTGGCCAAAAACCAAAATTTTGAATTGTGTGGGCCGGGAATAATTGGTTACACAATTTTTGGTACTCATTGCATCCTGAGTTCTTTCTAAAATTTTATAGGTTTTTTTTTACTTTTCCTAGTATGATGAGTTTCATATGTATTGGGTATGGAGATTTTGAAAATGCTAAATTGATGAGTTATTTAAAACATTAACTTACATAGTTGCATGTTAACAAGGGTTTGAAATTTCTAAAGGATGCGCTAGGCGAGTCTAAACCGCCAACATTCAGTTAAGGATATTTGTCAAATGAATACCTTTCCAGGACATGATCGCTGCAATGCTATTACGTATACCAGGGGGTTGTCCAGGATATAATGTTTTTGCTTCCCTTGGGATCTATTGGCATAGATATAACCTTAACTTGGATTGCTGTGGTTTTCTCTAGTGCTTGTTCTTTTAGTTTTTGTTTTTATAATCTGATCTTTCTATTTAGGTCAGTCTTGGTTTTTGGCATGTACCGTTTGTACATCGTCAATAGCATGCCATAGCATTGCTAGATATAATTTATGAGTCTGTTGTAGAAATTCTTTACTTAGTTCTTCATTTGTTTTATAGGTGATTTCTGAATGCCGTGGTAGCCACCTTTGTACTCGAGTTGTGGAGGAGGAGGTTCTTGTGCTATTTTCAAGGACTATAATAACGAAAGAGAGATGTTCTAGATACTCTTTTTGAGTTTTCTGTTATGTTTTGAATGACTTGAATAACATGGGAAGAAAGACTGCTATTCGTTGGTTTTGAATTTGGTGCATTCGCCTGACATTCTTCAAAAATGAAACAAAAGTTGTGTTACATATTCATGTTAATTTTACGGGCTTATAGCGAAGTAGTGTTATCGCGTCGCTTGTTTCTGGTTTTGTGATTTCTTTCCTGTTTCTAGTTTTGTGTCACCCTTCTTTTCAGCAAGAAAGTTCTGTATGCTTTTAGATGTGCTGTGGAATGTGGCACCGTAGAATCTTGGGAGAAGAAATTTGTTAGGTAGTGGCGACCGGCAGGGGCAAGGGAATCACCAAATTATGACATCTTGAAAGTTGAAAATGCCTAGTCTGCGCATAATTTGCCATCGTATAAATTGGTGATTCCTCCTTTATCGGCAATTACAGTCCGGTCCGAAATGCACATTTTATGTTTAGTGATTCCTCCTTACCTACAAATCTTGCTAAATCAGTCTCAACACGCCCGTTATTTTTCTTCTAGCGAGTTACTTTTGTTCGTATAAAAAGTCATTCCTTCTTACCGACAAATGTAGCTGGAAATGCAAAATTTCCCCCTTATTGATTCGTCCTTATGACAGATCTTACACATGCATAAAGAGAAATGACGTTTTACATGTATTGTTTGATCGAAGACAAAACATGTGTGTCCATGCGTTAACGTTGCAAGGAGGGATTCTCTTGAATTGAAATTACAGAGACACCGTTTCGTATTTTATATTATAACACAATAAATTAGAACAAAAACAAGAAGGAAGCACACAATGTGGTTACGGGAATCATCTAAGACGCGCATACGCCACATTGTCAAACACATTCCATAACCGAGACCTCAAACCCCGCCGGTGTTTATATTTCCGGCAATGCAAACAGACAGACAATCATTTCTTTTTGTTTACTCCAAGCCTCAATCGGAAATCCTCCTCCATGAGGGGTAGGCCTTCTCGCAACTTGATCTTCGGCTCCCATCCCAGCAATTCTTTTGCCTTTGTGATGTCGGGTTTCCTCTGTCTTGGATCGTCAGGAGTGTTCTCCACCCTCTTGATCTCCACCTCGGGGTTGATGAGCTGTAAAAGTAGCATATAAATCGATCGATATATCTGACATAGTACTGACAGTAGAAACCAACAAGATCACTGGTCCTCTTGTTTTGTAATTGACACATCAAAACTCGAATGTTTCAAACGTTATTGTATCCATTCGCCAAATATCTGTTTCTAACATTCTAACTGAAAAAAAGCTTCTGCAAAACCATACTCTAACAGCCAACAAAAGGAAAAATGATGGAAAAAGAGAAACTGACCTCCTTTACCGTCTCTGCAAGTTCGAGCATTGTAAATTCACCTGAAAGTACACAAGATATGTCAATACAACTAGAGCATAGTCTTATGACAGATTTTTGAGATACACTCATCACAGTATGATATATCTAATAGATTACCTGGGTTTCCAAGGTTAATAGGCCCGGTGTGCTCTCCTTCCATGAGACGAACGAGGCCATCCACCTACAAAAATTTAAATGGGTAACCATACATAAAACCCAACTCATTGCCATACACGGAAACAGAATGAAAAGCCAAAAAAGTTCCATACCAGATCGGAGACATAACAGAAACTGCGAGTTTGAGTCCCAGGATTCTGAACTGTCAACGGTTCATCACTACAATGTTGAAAACACATTGTAAAATTAATCCAAAGGTATCAATATTCAAGGGAAAAGGAAGTGATGACATTAGCTATCTTTAAGTCGAGACTGAATTAGTTAGTGATGAAAGTAGCCACGGTTGGGGCACCCTAAGGACTCACCGAAGTGCCTGAGCTATAAAATTGCTCACAACACGTCCATCATCAATATTCATGCGAGGGCCATACGTGTTGAAGATTCTCGCAATACGTATTTCTGTCAAAGAGTGTAAACGGAATTATATATTCATGCGAGGGCCATACATGTGAAAGAAAAAAAAAACAATAATTTGTTCATGGAAAACAAAAAAAGAGAAAAAACAAAATACCTATCCCATGCTGCCTATGATAGTCGAACATCAAAGTCTCAGCAACACGCTTCCCCTCATCATAACAGCTCCTTACTCCTGCAATTAATATATGTACTTGTCAAGGTCATGGTCTCATGAACTTAAATAAATCCCATGAACAGTTCAGCATTTCTGGAATCTCCATCAAGGAAGTCCATCTCAAATCAGGTAAACACTTTCAGAGTTAATTTTTTTGGTAACATGGTGTCAAATACAAAAGATATTAGCGTTTAAATGAAGCGGAATTTCCAGCTTAGAATGAGACGAGCACTTACCAATTGGGTTAACATTACCCCAGTAGCTTTCAGGTTGTGGATGCACAAGAGGATCACCATATACCTCTGAAGTGGATGTCAGCAGAATCCTGCTCAAATATATTTACTTAAAGTAAGACAACTTGATGGAATACAATTATGACTCTTTTATATGTGCAAGATTAATAGACCACCTCGCTCCAACTCGCTTTGCAAGTCCAAGCATGTTCAGCGTGCCAATCACATTTGTTTTTATTGTCTGTTAGAGAATCATATGCTCAAATGTTAGATTACAGATTTAACGTACATGTAAAAGTCTTTTCTATTGGAGGTGAAAGATCTTATCTGAATGAACAGGAAAAAGAAAGTAAAAATATTAGCTTCCATTGCTGATTAAGGACAAATGAAATGTTGCCCGCCTTACTTTGCAAGTCATTTTCTCTTAATCAGCAATTTGAATTGCATGCGACACATGCACTGCCAATTGCCATCTCAATATCTAATGTGCCAATCACATATGTTTACCTTTACAGGATTGTATTTGTAAAAAATTGGGGAAGCTGGGCAAGCAAGATGGTAAATCTGATCAACCTCGACCAACAATGTCTCTGTGACATCTGTAGCAAACAAAATAAAGATATTTAAATAAAAGCCATGCCCTTGCAAAGATTAATGACTCTTGACAGAAAAGAAAAAAAAACCCAGATGAAAGTAACTTGCTCAGTAAACCAAAATGTATGTACCATGACGAATAAGCTCGAATCTGGGATGACCAATCCACTTTTTCAGATTGTCCTTGGAGCCAGTGAAGTAGTTATCAACGACAATAACCTGTGGAGAATGGAAACAATATAAACCATGATGAAACAAATCATTTGATATATGATCTTATACTACGTCTAACTTATTGCAATTTTGTTCATCATGGAAGCTTAGTATTAACAAAAGTTTCCCAACATGAAGTATATAAAAACATTGAATCTTGAACTCGTTACTGAACAGAAAAATTGACCCTGAGACTTTATTAAAAGTAAATAATATGCTTACCTCATTCTTTTCATTTTCCATCAACCTGTCAACCAGGTGAGAACCGATGAATCCAGCTCCTCCAGTAACCAAAATTCTCATATTGGACTGCCACAGTAAACAACACACAATCAAAGCATTACAATAACTATAAGCGGCCGACATGAAAATTTGGACAGAACAATGATATTTACTAGCCATCTAATACCAAACAAAACATACTCCTTGAACTGAAAAGCAGCAGGATTTATCTCAATAAGCGTAATGAACTCATCTTTGCTATAACAACAAACGAGCGAAAAAATGGAAACGTGACAAAGTTACATGACACCAAAATTTCAAAACAGGCAAGATCATAAGGATATGCAACATTTTCTTCTAGGACTCAGAGAATTCAGAAATGTGGTTTGACTTTCTGCTAACTGGGGACAAAACAGAGAACCAAGAAAGTGTGGAGAATGAGTGTGATACGAGCGCAAAACCTCGACCACTGACGATTTATAATTTCAAGATCTAATCGTACAAACCATCGCGTGGAAAATGCGATCTGTATTAGCAAAACAAAATAATTGTATAATTATCAGTTAATTACAATATTTCTAAGATTTACTTTGCAATTAGTAAATGCTGATGGAGAAATGCAACGACCCCAATGGCATAAATATCAGAAACACAATAAATACACAAAATCAACACCAAAAAAGGTATTTCAACACTGTAAAAAGCAGTTCACAAAAACCCAAAGAAACGAAAAAGATAGATGAGTAAATAAACAAAAGAAATAGCACAAGGACCTGAAAAAACTTGGAGAACCGCAGAGGAGATGGCAAAGGAGGAGGCTTTGTTGTGGTCTGGTGCTCCCCATTGGTAGAATTGTTTGCCATTTTCTCAGATCCTCTCTGCAATCCAAATACCTGCAACAATTTACCCAAAACCTTCAAACTACAAGCACTAAAAGATCAAATTTTCTGCAGCAACTGAAACAAAGTTTTGAACTTTAGTTTCTAATCATCGAAAATTTTATGGTGCTTCGAAATATCTTAGACTCTGGAGATTTTTAACCGTTAAATCTTAATCGTTATATTTTTAACCAATGATCTAACCGTTAAAAAGTTCGAGTATACTAGAAAATCACTCGAATTATAAGGAAAGATTAGAGCTTGAAGTTGAAGTTGACCTGAAAGATAAAGCCGCTTAGGAAGAAAACCCAATACCCTTTGGATCCGCCAAGTTCAAGTTAGCAGAAACCCAATATTTATAGTCCCTCAAATCTCAAAATAATTCCAAAAAATCGGAACTTCTACCAACCGATGAATTTTAAATAGAAATATAAACATTTAAATAATATAACGAACCGGAAAGCCTTCAAATTCAAGGAAAGTTCTGGCCTTTTACTGATAGCTCCTCGATAACAATAAATTCAATTTGAAGTGACAATCCAAACTGTATTATTTTATTTTATTTTTGACAAATAACAATGTTAGTAGTTTAAATTATTAGTTGTTAAATGAAGATCGGTGAAAATTGAATTCATATTAGAATGTATAGACATGATTAATTTTCTCTACTGCGGTAAAATGTTATTCGCACAAACTTGATTATTTTTCGTCACTACATTAAAACGTCATCTGCAAGCAAACTGTATTATTATTCCCCATTTAGAAATCATTTTCTTTTAAAGGTACCAAATAATAATAATAATTCAAATTTGGTAATCCAACTATAATTAGTAATTATGTACCAAATAAAGAAGATTGTAATTATTTATTTACCATGTGAAGAAGTTAGAGAATCTTGGATTTTGAGAGGTCCATGGGATTATCTAATTTATGAATTTTGGGAAAAAGGGAAGGATATATAGGATTAGTGATCCTAATAACAGTGATTAGTGAGCTATAGCCTATAATTAGAGGGGAATTAGGGTTCTGAGTCCTAAAGATATAGATGTGACAATCAAATAACACTTTGGTGACTGTCTGAGAGACAGGTAAGACCGAGTTCCTTGCTTTGTTTTGAAGGTTGGAACCCGATGCTCTCTTTTGTATGAGTTTGTCATTTTATACGCTTACGCATCTGAGGTATTGCCACATGTATAATACAACTTGGACAAGTGGTGTCTTGATAAGAACATTCCTGGAAGATTCTATCTGCATTAGGATTTTGAATTTCTTTGTAAGTTGGGTTGAAATTAATGATACTCCATCATAAATGATAAACAGATTCACAAAGCAAATATGATTAGTATTCTGATTTTAGGAGAAAATTCTAGTAGACAACGTTCGTATTTGTTTTTTATTTTCATTTAAATTCTTTCTCAAAATGGGGTGGAGTTATTGTAAATAAATAAAATATTCAAGGTGATAGACTTGTAATTGCCTAACTTACTGAATAATACGAGCTGCAATTGAGAATACTTTGTTGGATATGTGATCATACGAAAAATAACAGGATTAAGAACGAGAATACATGAGGTAGAATAGAGGTGGCCGCAATTAAAGATAAGATGAAATAAAATCGGTTAAGGTGGTTTGGATATGTGAAATGAAGACCTACAGATGCTCCAGTTAGAAAAATGCAATTATGAGACAAAGGCTAGGGGCAAAAATGGTAGAGGAAGACTTGGGAAGAGACATTATCAAAAGACATGGAGTACTCGAAGCTGACAGAAGTCTTCGCGCAAAAGTGACCACAATGATGTTTTAGGATTCATATAACCTACTCCACTTAGTGAAATAAGACTTTGTTGTTGTTGCTGCTGTACTAAATAATAGGAGCCCAAAAATTCAATGGGATGCATTGATACACTTTACGGTTAAATTCATATGGTTGTATATTGGCAATCTCATTCTAGCTGCTCAAACACTAATACACTTCATTAAACGGTTGGGTATGAAAATGAATGACATGAGAAACCTCTCGACTATCTCGTACCTTCATTTTTCAAGTGTGCCATATCAAAAATCAAGGAAACTTACCTACTTTTTCATTCATTTTATTGTTAGTAAACACATAAATATGAATCACACATAACTTTAAACAGAAATGATCGAGCCGATCCTTACAATTTTCATGAGCGAGTAATCATTCCTTACATATTTTTGTCAGTTCTTTCTTTATATATAATTTTGCATGCATACATGGGTACATTATTTCTGATAATCATGCAACTTACAAGAGATTTCGTACAAATTAATGTGGAAAGAAGGATTCTCCCATTGAACAAGTTCCTTGATTCCCTCTTCAATCTCCCTTGTTTCTCTTATTAAACTACTTATGCAGAATCCTAAACCACTTAAACACAAAACCATTTGGCTCTTGAGCTCCTCACTTTTAGCATCAATTTTATCAACGACTTCCTCCGAGTGTTGGAGATAAGAACTCATAATCTTATCCATCTCTGAACTACAAGCCCTAAAAATATTCGGTGATCGAGATTTTCCCAACTCGGGGTCAGGAGATATGTTACTCTTTTGATCAAGAACTGTGATTGATTTTATCAAGATGATCTCCTTGAAGCATGTCATCAAACTTCCAACCATTTTCTTGAAATGTTCAAGATCACATTCCAATGTATGTACAATTTCCTTCCATGAAGCCTCAAGTGTTTGTGAATTTTCTTCAAGAATTCCAACTGCATGAGCACTTAAAACTAGCAAGTCCATCATTTTGGAGAAAGACCTCAAGAGTTTTCCGTAGCAAGCACTATGAAAAGGCAAAAACCAGAAATTGGGCTCCCCCTCAGCTTCTCCAATCAACTTCCCAAGTTCTTCAGTATGCATTTTCAGTCTCTTTTGATTATCTTCCAAATTGGCTCTTCCTGATTGAAGACTCACCGAGTTGATGCACTCTTGCAATGTCCCAAGAGTCCTAGAGAGTTGAACTTTTGCAAGAGCAGAAGCTCTTGTGGGTTGCAAGATTAGGTCAACGATAATAGAACTAGATAATCCGATGAAGGTTTCTGTGATTCTGGCTATGGCAAATTCACTTGGAGGACCAAAGTTTGTTCTCCCCAAAACTAGTACGGCTCCAATTACTGCTGAAATGCCTCCTGCCTGGCCGTACATTCGGCTACGCTGGAGAAAACTGGTGAAAATGAACCAAGGAATCAGAGATAAAAGTCTCATTGACAAAAACCTTTGGAAGAGAAACCAACCCAAAACTCCATATACAGTTCCTAAAACAGTCCCTTGTACTTTAACATTTGAAACTTTAAATGTTGCTTCTCTGGTTGATGCAAAACTGATCGCTAATGGGAGTCCTGCCCAGTAACCATCATCTTTGCTGTACATCAAACCGAAAAACACAGCAAGACCCAAGGAGAGTGAACATTTGAAAGCTCTCATAAGCCTCTTGCTGCTTCCCTTGGTGGACAAGTTACTCCATATCTTGAAATACAATCCATTTTGTTTGGACGAATTAGTTGCTCCTCCAGTCTGGTGAACCAAATTTTTTCCTGTACAGTCTTACTTCTGGATAATAACTTGCCTTGGAGGAGATTGATGCAAAACAAAAAGAAAATTGGGGGTAAATCTTGGTGGATTTGTGGGATGGTTTGAAGTGTTTGGAGGAAACCAACATTTTCTGCTTTTGATTCAGGAACAGTTACTGAATCACAAGGCGTGCTTAAGTCTAGGCTCATGTGCTGCTCTACTAGTCTAAGTAGAGCATCTTTACTGAGCTCTCCATTCACCACCTTAACTGGAAATGAAGGAATACAGGTTAATGCCATTTCCATTCCTCTAAAGGGTATCTCTAAGCCCTGCAATCTATCTCCTGGATTTACGTAGCCGCATCTCGAAATTAACTTCAGCGGAACTCTCTCCCACTTCATGCTTTCCTGCACGGAAGAAAACACAGTTCAAATTGATCAGCGCTCCTAAAATGAGAGTCCGATTTATAAGGTACTTTAATTGATCAGTAGTAGCTAGCTACGTATACTACGTACTTCATTACTAAAAGAGGTGAGATTCACTTGTTTAATTAAACAAGCCAAATATATATATATATATATATGGTACGAGAACGTGGTCCAAATAGTTTTGTTGAATCATGTTACAAATTATGTACACATGATTATACATGCATATATTGTTATTTTGTAATTTTGCATAAGGTTTGCTTACCTGGTGGTTTTCGATAGTTTGGAAAAGCATGGTTGCAGTGGAAGCCAACGAATTTGCTTGAGAAAGTGATGCAAGTGCTGATGTGCTATCTTCTGCGCAAAACGCCTCTACAAAGATCTTGAGTCTTTCTGAAGCATTCTCGATAAGTAGCTCTGCGTTTTGTTTAACCTGCAAAATATATTCGAACGCGTTGAATATTTAATTTAAAATGTAAGTAATCTTGACCATTTGCACTTTCAGATTGTCATTTTGTACCTAATTTAATCGCATTATTAAATATGTATGTGGATTAAAAGCACCTCTCGAGAAGCAAGGCGTGGGAAGGGAATCAACAGAGCCAAAACACAAGCCAACACCCCAATTCCAGTACTTGTAGCCACGTGGACAGGGTGCATGATAGCATCCGTATGGCCCCCATTTATATAAGCTATGACATACATAATCACAATCTGTCCAAGTGCTATGCGTTTGGTCACAAAGTAAGTATACTCCGGCAGAGCCACCACGAATGCAGCAAGCCCCACCGCCAGAGCGGTCGTGCTGGTGGAAAGCTGGGCCGGCCCAATCAGCCACAGACTCAACACCGCCGGGCCAATAGTTTGTGCCGTGGCGTAGAGCCCGAGCCAACAGCCACAAAGTGTGTGCCCCAGAGTTGCATCAGGAACAATGAGGAGGACTGTGACATAAGAGAATGCCGGGAAGGTTACTTGGCGTCGGAGAGATTGTGGGCCATACAGGGTGGTTAGGGCAACTATGGTGCAAGCAAGACATGTACGGAATGCAGAGGCTAGGCATGTTAGCCACATGGCTCGGGCTCGGTTGGTGTGGTCAAGAAAAGTCGGTATATCGTTTCGTTTTGCACTAGCTAGAAGCTTCTACGTACTTAGCTGTCTGTGGGGGTTTTGGTGATGCATTTATAGTATGGAGGTGTTGAGGTTTGGGGAGAGACTGGAGTTACATGTTAGGGGAAGGGCAAAATTGGTATCAGGAACCATATGCGAAAGGCTCCAATGGGGACCTACCAATCTGGTGAATGGGTTGATGTGATGCTAATATTAGGTGTTCACTAGTAATGTCGATGGTGCTACCGAAGTTTGGTTGGTGGGATGATTGAGGGAGGGAGAAAGTGTTAATTAGAGATTTACAGGCTCTAAACTATTGCACAAGTTGTGAGGCTGACTCGTGTGATTAGAGGATTTTTTTTTTTTTTTTAGGTACATCAACTTCAGAGTTGCTTTTGAATATATATAGATCGTGAAATGCTAAAAGTTTTTCCTATCACACTAGATGATGACATATAATCTTATAATCTTATCCTCCAACCGTCAAATGTGAACATGCAATCTTCATGTCCCATTACATTGTAGAGCCGACTCGTATGATTAGAGTTTATCTTCTTTTCTCTCTTGAGGGCACTAACTTTAGAATTGCATGTGAATAAAGAGTAGAATGCTAAACACTGTTTTTATCTGACTAATGATAACATGATGCGATAATCTTATCCTCGAACCATCAAATATGAACGTGCAATCTTTACGTCCCGTTAACACTTTGGAGACGCCTTTTACATATTGCCAATGTATATAGTTATGTAAAAACACATAATATGATCATACTCCGTCAGTGAATCAAATAACTCTTGTTGATAAAAGTATCCAGGCTTAGGATTAAGTAATTATAATCCTTCACTGCTTTCAAGTGATTTTTTTCATCCCTTTGGCATTGCAATATTTCCTAATGAAGGACAAAAGTTCAACACTGAGTATATGCTTTAGCCTGAGCAAAAAATCAGCGAAAACTCCTTTGTCTTGCAATTTGAAGAACCAAAGCACTAAATCTGAGGAATAAAGCAAAAACAGTGGCTATATACAAAGATTAAAATAGAATCGAAGTGGGGCTTCCACTCAGTACAGCATTAGTTCCTAATTTTCGTCCTTCCCAGGCGGCAAGGGTCACGTTTGAGAAGCGGGGAATGCTGACCAAATATACATTCTTATGAAATATAATATTACAGCTTATTAGATAAAAAAGCAAAGTTGCAGATTCTTATGCACACCATGCGTGACCTAATTAATTTTAGGAAAGAGATGAAGCACATTGAAGCTGCAAAAAGTTCTAATTCATGCATGCTTTACCATATGCATATGTGCGGACATCAGTTGCCCACATACTGTACATGAGTAACTGTGCGCCGTTGATCTATGTAAGTTACTCAAACTTAATGTGTTTCATGCTCACAATCACTATAGCGCACGTGAACGACCGAAGATAATTTTAACATTACATGCACCCACAAGGTCATCTGCCATTTACGAAAGTTAATAGGTGAATATGGCTTTTCCAAAAGCAAAAAGGATCATGCATATGGTCACGATCAAGATAATGCCAAAAAATATTTGCGTTCTGTATTTATCAGTTCCTTTTTTGCCTACGTTAGCCATCCCACCTGTTAAGGATCTGAAAGGTCGTCTTCCCAAGGTTTGCTGCAAAAAGTGGAAAGAAACAGAACTTTCCAAGCATGGCAATGGGAAACTGGAAAGGAATAAACAAAGTGATCTTCAATTTCAAGCTTATGCATGTTTATTCGGTCACCTAAAATAACTTTAAACGGAAATGATTCAGCTGATCCTTTTTGAGAGTCATTCACAACCACTGATGAAGGATTCATCGAAAAGTTAAGGATTAATAATCCTTTTTTGAAGTCGAATGGATTCGATCTTATACATACATGAGGAAGGTAATAAAAAAAGAAAGAAAATGAGTTCTTTCTTACTGCTGCTCAATACCTTCTAACTTTTATCTCATGTCATGACATAAGCAAGCAGTTCTTATTGTATCGGACCAAAACCTCGCGAATTGATCTTTACGGTGCTTTTTCTATCAATTAGATCCTTTATCCATAGAATAAAGTTCGATTTATGATACTATCGGAGTGAAATAAGGAATCTAAAGACGAACAAAGGCTAGACTATATTAGTAACAAGTAAATCCTTTGCTTTGTATGTAAACTCTCTCTAAGGAACTCAGGAAAATAGCCCCGTAACTTCAGGAGAAGGGGTGCCCCCTCACAAAGGGGGAATAGTCTGCTGATCGGATCCTTACGATGAATTAACAAACACCAACATTTAACAGGATGCAAATTATGCAATCGCAGTTTGATAAACGTATTGGTTTGGCTTCTTTTCGGAACCCTATTCAACGACACTTCAGCCAAGATTCAAGAACATCAATGCTAAACAAGAAATAGCACTTCAACAGTGAAGAAGTAAAACAAGAAGAAAAAAATGCACTCTTTAGTCTTAAAAATAGGCTAAAATTGCCCTAATAGTCCTTCTTGTTTACTCCAACTTTCTTGTTTACCTTGTAGTTTCATTCCCTTGGCACCCTAACTAGTCCATCGAATGATACATAATTTGGGAATTTTAAACCTTGGAACAATAATGTATTTCATGCCTTAAAAAAGTTTTGAGGATTGATAGGCTTATTTAGTGAGAAAAGTTGAAACTCGAATGTGGCCAATGAGGACATCTGTTAATTATTAAAATTGCAGCTATTACTAAAAAATACTTACAAGAAAATAAGGTTTAGTTAACGGAATTAATGAAAAGGAAAGACCGGGGTCCAGAGCAAGTTAAATTGGGGTATAGAGCAGCGCAGTTGGAGGGTGACAAAGGACGTGCTCGTATAGTACAAAGAAGGGTTCCCACAGAAGCACCCATTAACTACCGACCAGCTGCTTTTCATTGAAGGAAATGTATGATTAAATTTACTATGGTATTATTTTGTGGTGCTGATTGAATGAATCAAATATTACTGACGTCACATTTTTTCTTGAAAGATGGAAACAGGGGATCAACTCAATGGAAAGAGATCTCTCCTAATCTCTCCCACAAAGATCACCTAATCAAGTGATCTGGACCCTTGAAATTTGATCCAACGGTTAAAATTATTATAACTTTTAAAGAGATCACTGTGTTTAACCGTTTGATCAAATTTGAATAGCTCAGATCACTTGATTAGATGGCTTTGATGGGAGAGATCAGGAAAGGATCTCTTTTCCAACTCAATAATCTTTGATAATAATGGCATATTACTTTCGCCAACTGTAACACATAATTTTATTGATGGTTATCTTTCCCATTGTGTGTGCAACAATTTAGATGACTTGTACAACTACAAAAAAACATCCAGGGATCCTCGTCGAATTCCTTCCTCATAATCCATCAAGTTCGAAAATTCAGACCGTTGAAATTTGATCCAACGGCTAAAATTATTATAACTTTTAAAATAAACCCCTATTTGTAGCCGTTAAATCAAATTTCAACGATCCAGATTCCCAAACTTGGTGTATTACGAGGAAGGGATCCAGAGAGGATCCTTGTCCCCAAAAAACCTATGGATTACGATCCAAGAGACCTATTTTTGACACATATTTTAACACCCATTTTAGTAAGGCCTGTTTCGTAATTTTATTTTTCAAGGATCTGAACCGTCTATATTTTAATCCATCATTCATATATCATCTTTGCAAAAAAATTAGACAAATTCAAAATCATTAAGACATTCATTTGTAGTGAAGAAAATAGACAAGTACGATTTTGCAAAGAAACACTAAAATGAATATCATATGACCTTCCAAAGGTATCTAAAAATGAATAAAAAAAAGCATGCATGACAACTCTAACTTGATTTTAAAACTCTCCTAAGAAAGTTTTGAAGCCATATCGCCCTATGAGCATGAGAATCAAAACTAAAAATAGATTATAATCTTAAACAATGTGCTTCAAGTCTTAGCAAGAACAAACAAATAAAAATTGGGATTTTCAAATGCAAAGATGTGCACATCTCCGGATGGAACAATCAACTTTGTTGACGGATTGAACTAAACGAAAAGCACAAAAAATGCAAGAAAAAAATATAGGGACAGAGGTGAAAATCCAGGTAAGACTACAAAGAACCATTAGTGCAAGTTGACCCTCAACGATAAACAACAACTTCAACAACCAAGCCTTATCCCACTAAGTGGGGTCAGTTATATGAATCCTAGAACGTCATTGTGCACGCTTTTGTGCCAAGTCTTCCATTAGCTCCACACCAACATGGAGAAGAACTAATATATGACGTGGAAAACTTATAGCATACACACTTTGGAGAAGAACTAAGTGCCAAGAAAAAAAGAGGAGAAAAAGAAGCTTGTCCGCTCTTTTGGTCTTACCTCACTTAGGAGAAAAGGGAAAGGGACGGCTTTCGGGGTCAAAGAATAAAGAAAGGAATGCTATGAAAACCCATACCATAAGGAGACCAAATATGGCAGTCCTCACCAACTGATCCCAGTTATCTTCCATGTCAACCTCATTCTCATACGTTGGATGGGCTGGAAGTGGAGTCCGACCCTCGTGCAAATCTTCTCTTAGCTCTGTCTTGGCAACTTCATTTGTCCGAGGGTGCCACATATCTGTACATATTTTGCACTGGCATTTGCCACCAAGATATAATGGAAGTGCCTCAAGGTACTCAGAGAGAATCTTCCGGTAACTCTCACCTTCAATTCTCAACTTCTCTCGGGTATAAGGTTTCAAAACCTGACAAGGCAACACATGTGCATGTTTATGAATAAAAGCATTGCTGATGCACTTGAGTGTCCAATTTGAAACTATTAAAATCATGACTAGATCAGAGTGTAATAGACTTACTTGAATAAAGGTTTGAGCAATAACACGAAGCATTGGAGGAAGCCGAATAACAAACAGACAGCCAAGACGGTTGGGGAAGTGATCTTGCAAAAGAGAAGAACAAGTCCTCATAA